GAAAAAAAGGGGGACGGACCCTGACTGGGGCTAAAACTCAGGACCTAACGGTTTCAGTTCGATGTCCTACTCAGCGAACAACCCCATTCTGAAGCAATGTGTGGCATATTCTTTGCCTAAAGTTATTGGCGAATAAGAAAAAGATTATCGTCATGCGGAATCGGACTCCTCACCTCCTGTGTTGCATACAGTTTTCTGGCATCCGCGGACGTTGCAGTACGACAACGGCTGCCCAACATCGACAAAACGACGACAAAGATCCCAATCAGCAAAGGAGCCACTAGCCGTAATAAAGAGGGAAGGCAATGCGATGCCATTATGCCACTTCAGATAAGGATCCACGGGAACGATACCGACAGTAGAAGCTTACAGTCGGAAACTGCAACACATAACAGTCAGAAGAAAAAACCAAGAGACAGATGAAGATGAGGCAGCAAGGTAGCATCTCGACATAGTTGGACTATCGTCAACGATGCACCCAAGTTCTCGAATTGTGAACCTCTGCGGGTAGAAGCGATTCTACTCAGGTGTCGACATCATGACGAGCACTCAGGTCTGAGCTGGTGTTCTGGCAGAACCGAACGTGTCCGATACAATCAATCAATGCACACCTGACTACGGAAGAGTGGTAGACCTGTCACTGCGGCTATAACAAACTAAAGCATTGACCCATACGCCCAATTTGGAGGGAGAATATGAGCCCATTTTGGAATAAGTATGAGTTGCTCTGTATGAATGCAGAATAAGGAATCCGCCATTCTAACGGGCGATTTTACTGCGGATGCAAGAGCAGACACGGAAAAATCGAAAGGCTTGACTGGAAACAACGGCCCTAATAACCTCAACCATAACTGTGTGAAGCGTGCAAAGTTGTTTCTGATTTGTGCAAACAATGTCTGTCTACTTTGAACATCTTCATTGGGCATCGAAACGTGTATCAGAACACCTGGTATAGAGAAACTTGTGCACAGAAGACGGTAATTAATTTGATAATCGTACCGCCTGACATACGACAATCTGTAAAGGATTCTCACGTTAAGAGAGTTGCATAGCTATCAAACTATCACCATATTTTTGCTGGGATGCCACGCTATAAGAGAGACAGCACCACAAGAAAACCTGGCGGCAGAAGCAGCCACAGAATCAAATTAGAAACACCGGTGATGAGAACATTCTTCGGCGATTGAAAGAGTACTTTGAGAAGCTCCCTAACTCAGAGAGCAACCGCAGGAAGATTCGCTAAAAGCAACAGAAAACGGATATCAGCATATCCGTAGACGATATCACACAACTTGCGAAAATCTTGAAAAGTGGAAAAGCTACTGGAATGCCTGAAATCCCTCCTGAAATGCTCAAAGCGAAAGACGAACAAGGTATGTGCTGACTTACATGTATCTGTCAAACTGTAATGGCTAAGGGGAAGACGCCAGGAGACTGGAGAAAGGGGGTAGTATAAGATGCTCAGGAAGGGAAAATATAAGGAGTGCTCCAATTATAGGGACATTATTTAAGAATCCCAAGTAAAATTTACGCGTGCTAGAAATGAGGTGTCGCGGAATAACTCCAAAATACAAGAAGAGCAGTGCGGTTTCCGGTCTGGCCAAAGCATATTTGATCAGATATTCGCCCCACGTCAGACTGCTGAGAAATCATGGCAGTTCGCCATTCGGTTTATATGTGCTTTGCGGAACTATAGAAAGCCCATGACCGGATTCCGCGCAACAGTCTGTCGGCATGCCTGCGAATATGGAATCGATGACCGGTTGCTACGGACCATTCAGTCACTTTATGCTGATGGCAGGTGCTGCGTAAGAGTAGATGGCGTTAAGTAGAAGCCTTTAAACGTTGGCAGTGGTCTCCGCCAGGGTGCTTTCCCCTCTCGCATTTATGCTGTGCATGAATGAAATAGTGTGGCGCAAAAGGCGATGAGTGCATCAGTGTAGAAGATATCGAGATGAAAAGGATGCTGTTTGCAGATGACCTTGTTTTGCTAGTATCTACTGAAACTGACTTACAGCGATCTCTAATCCAAAGCCGAGTGTGACGTGGCCGGAAAGCATGTGAACGTGGCGAAAAGCCTAGTGCTCTCTCGTTCTCCTGTCTCCTCATCAGATAAACGGAGAAGCAGTGAAACAGTCAGAGAGTTTTAAGTCCTCGGAATCGCGTTGATTGCTGATAGAAAATGGGTGGATGAGACGAACCGGCGGATTGGAATCGCTAGTCGCATTCTGCAAGAACAAGCTCGAACCATTGTGGTTAAGGCAGAGCTGAGTCGGAATACTAAACAAATCTATCATGTTCAAGTCGATCTTTATTCCAGTGCTCACCTATGGCCATGACTGAAAAACATTCGATCTCGGGTACAAGCAGCTGAAACGAGCTTAATGAAACAAGTCGCTGGCCTTACACGTCTCGACATGGTTCAGAAGACGGATATCCAGAAGAGCTTTCGTTTACAGCCGCTGTTTCAGCTGCAGTGGTTCGGACATGTTTTGCACATACTTCCAGAAAGAAGTAGAGAAAAATACTTATTGTCCAACCGACCTGCAAAATACCCAGGCGCCGGCCAAAAATACCCTGGGGCAAGGGTACTAACATAATCTGCTTCAGATTCCGGTTGTCTTCTGCCGAAGCTCAGACTCGGGCACAGGATCGGAAATTCTGGAAGCAATGCCTGATGCGACTGCCTCGGCAACCCGAAAGAAGAAGCGGTTATGGAAAGTGAAGTCAAATGAAGCGAAGTAATGAAACTGACTGTCTAACAGCGTAGATTGTGCATGGGAAAAAATCTCAAGAACGCCGTAACTTTCTTCCGCAACGTGTTTAACTGTACTACGCCGAATTATCAAAGTTAGTTACGTTAACACGTAAATTTGTTGTATGAATCTGATTTTGTACGAAATATTACGACGTCGCACCGGATTTCTATATCGAACCCAAACCGCTGTCGATGCCGTCGATCAAACATACCATACGCTTTACGTCAATCAATACGGCGTTCTTCATATATGCGACTAATCGAGCCGCAATCATGGTGGTTGCCAGTTCGAGACGGGAGAAGGTCACTCTTCTGATAAGTGCCACCTTGGATCACGTCATTATTAGGCTGATGAGGGTTTGATTTTCGGTCGTTACAACCTTCAAATAGATAATGGCACCTTAAGCCGCTTTGGAAATGTCGCTGAACCCATGATTCACAGGTGCTAGTATCACGCATCGACTGACACGCGGATGTGTAGAGTTAGCAATTCATTTTTCCAACTTCGCCAGGAAGAATCAAATCTGTCGCAAGGAGATCATCCCAACCGGTGCCAGAATGCTAAAGCCTCCGCTGAAATAAGATCTTTGCTCTTGCCACATAAGGAACCAGAAATGATAACGAATCGAAAACCTGAGCAACGATTATGACATTTCGTATCACATGACTACGTAGGAATATGAAGCAGAGAGTCTAGCGCTCAAGAGAAAAATCAGAGGCCTGAAAGTGCGGAATCAACGACACCTTGACAAACGCTGAAAGGCACCAACTAGATCAGACGATGGGCCAAAAAACGAAGAAGCTTCTGTCTCGATGGATAGGTACTTCTTGAAATGCGAAGATTACCAGGTCAAATACGAGGTTGAACTTTTCTCCGCCATCTGTTGGAATAGGATATTGAAGAATAGGTAGCATATGAGAAAAGCATTCGAACGATCAGTTTCAGCATGAGAAGGTATCTGCAAGAAACGATAAAGGGGAACAAGATGCCGATCCTTTGCAACGCGCTAACGGGTAACTTCACTGTTGGACCACGGCTGCCGAAGTGAACTTTGCCAAAGTTCGATGGTAACGTGCTTGACGTCAGCGGATTCTTATACCAGCGTTGGGAATGTAAGTACGTCTCCATCTCTATCCCACGCCCCGCCGAGTTTTAAGATCAACCCTGCGGTTTTCTGAGTAGCGTCACGGGCAGGCAAACCAGCAAGAAATACGATTTCGTTGCAGACCCATTTTATTAGATGGAACCTGTCGAGCTTCATCATTTCTGCATGAGCTTCAACCAATTGAACCGCTTGATCTGTATTGTCACAACCTGTGAGAATATCGTCGACAAATTAATCATCACCTCTTCGGCAGCTCGTGCGAATTTCTCTGCTTATCTGCATTATGTTTGAATACAGTAATAGCAGAAAATGGCAAACAAAACAATCCAAAACCTACAGAATTCAGGAGTAGATCGGCAGATCGCGATCGGTTTAAAAATTTCTCCACAGGAATCGCTTGATATCACGATCTGCTTCATGCACTACTATTTGCAGAATGATTCTTCCTATGTCTGCCTGCAGTCCAACCCGATGTCGACGAAATCGTAGCGGTATAGCGACCAATTCAGCTTGCTTTAAATACTTTGTAGCACTGCACGTGTAGTTTGAGTAAAAAGAATATTGCGACAATTAATCGCCTACGCGATTCCCATATGCGTAACGACGTCTTTTGGATCAGCTCTGGGATGGATCAGGGAGGTAACCATTCGATATCAGCGAAGCCTCGGCCTCAGAACAACTCACTCTTGCCATGAGGTAGCTCATGACGCGTACTGCTGCATCCATCCTTCTAAGAAGTAGAAACTGTTGGGCAGTTGTTGCAACGTGGTCGGCCGTCACGCAACGAAAACACAAACGACTGACCTTTGCAAAACGCCCGCTTTCCTGGAGATGCCTTAAAAAATTTTGCCACTTCAAAACCTTACGAAGATCTTTACACAACGGCACTGCTTTCTACGACCTACAACGATCTGTAACGCTGCAGCGGAGAAATTCCGGTTTTCTCGCGTCGGTCGGTATGAGAAGTCAAGGTAGCAGAGCGATCGGTCTCTCCTGCACTTCTGGTCGTTTTACTAATTCTTCCACCTTTATGTCTTTCAAAAAAACCAAGAAAGCTCTCCAAATAAACTTCTTTAAGTTTTTCAAAATACACCTTTGTTCTCCCATCGTTTGCGGCCAGGCATCAGCAGCATGCATGGCTGCTTGAACATGAACAAAAGGATCTCGGCAACAGACAGCTGGTCCGTATCCGAGTCCTTTCCTACGGCCTGCAAGGCGCGTAGATGGCTATTCTACCGGTCATGAAGTTCGCGCAGATCCAGTATACTCACTTTTGTAAACACAGCAGCATCGAGGAGGGCCGAGTTCTTGCACAATGAGTCCCGATCAAGCGAAATGATTCAACGGAACTTCGCCAACGATGAGGTCGTTTGCGGCTCTAATGGTATAGCCACTAATTTCTTCCAATGCAGCTCCTATTGTCGAGCATACATCACAAATTTCATGGCCTCATTCAGATTTTGGCGTGAACCCACTCCCGCCTCGAACTGATATGAGAATCCGCTGACGTCAAGCACGTTCCCATCGAACTTTGGCAAAGTCCAACGGTGAAGTTACCCGTTGGCGCGTTGCAAAGGATCGGCATCTTGTTCCCCTTTATCGTTTCTTGCAGACACTTTCTTATGCTGAAACTGATCGTCCGAATGCTTTTCTCATACACCACATATTCTTCAATATCCTATTCCAACAGAAGGCGGAGAAAAGTTCAACCTCGTACTTGACTTGGTACTCTTCGCATTTCAAGAAGTACCTATCCATCGAGACAAGCTTCTTCGATTTCTGGCCCATCGTCTGATCCAGTAGGAGCCTTTCAACGTTTGTCAAGGTGTCGTTGATCCGCACTTTCAGGCCTCTGATTTTTCTCTTGAGCGCTAGACTCTCTGCCACAGCTCACTGGTTGATATCCATATCTGGCTCGAAGGATCAATGTGCACGACTTGACCAGATGGTCTCGCTCAGTCACCTCGTCGGCAACGGTTGTCCGCTGGACGCTCAGAGGGACCAGTGCAAATCACTTGCACACGTTTTACTTTTGTTTTAACACAACACACGTAAACACAGCCAAAGTACCAGAGGTAACAACAGCGAGTAACAAGCCAAACCGTCTCAAAATATGAGTTCGGTCTTTACTACGCCCGTTTCAACCTTTTATACCTGAGTCACTGAACAGCTGCGTGGAATTGTCTGTCATCGGATCGTATTTTCGGCCGGTAGCACAGCGCTCTCACTGTACTGCATTTCTCTTTAACTATAGAAAAAAACGATCGGCAAGCTGCTCGACAAGTGCCGCTGGCAGTAAATTCGAGCCGTCTGCGCGGAAGCAAATCAGGTCCCATTCACCCGTACATCTCATCTGTCACAACTGGCAGCACATTTCCTGTTGACAGAGGGAAAGACAGCAGGATTTCGATGCTGAACAGGCGTTACTGCTGTAAAGCATCCGCGGATGTAGGTCAGTCGCTTTGATTCTTGTTCGTCTGTATTCAAACAGATACACTTTCCCAGCTCGGCCTAGTACAACCTCGAGAGCAGATAAAGTTTCAGAGTCTGGTGAATCAACTCGAAGCGTGATAGTGAATCATTACATGGTGAAAGCGGTGGACAAATTCATTCATCTCAGAAGCAGATAGTCTGGGCTGCATATACCAAGAGGAGTCATTCCCATACGTCTGACGAGAACTAAAACTTTTCTGGAGACAAAACTTTGTTTACACACTCGCTTTGCCCTATGGGTGTGAAAGTTTAATCCTACACAGAGAAGGGAGAAGACTGCAGTCGTTTTGCATCAAGAAAGTGCAAGGATAACTCTTGGGTATAAAGCAAAATTATTTCGTCAGCAACGCTGAACGATGAAAAGCCATTTTGGAAGCCCGTTTCTAATGGGTGAGACATATACTAGAAGAAGTCATAGTGTAGAAAGCACGTAGACTGTACGCAACCGTGAAACGCGGACTCAAGCTATTTTAAACATCTCAGAACACCTTGACAGAGCAAATGCCAACACAATCGATCTGTTCTCAGAAATCGTTCAACCGCTCAACGTCAACACGGAACTCGCTGTTTATGCATTCGCGTCTAACTGACTTATTTTAACAGCTAGTCACCACGACACCTGAGGCAGTTGGTGAGTACTGTATTTGGGCTAAAGAAGCTCAGAAGTGCAGCACAATTGCGACAGCGACGAAACAGGATGTATAAAAAACAATCGTAAGATTAAGCGAATTTTGAAATCCATGCCATAAGTCGATAAAATATTCTTACTGTTCCATCGCAATGATCTGTAGCTTGGTATGTTGGTAATGATATAGCTGTGCCGAAGAAGCAAGTTTTGCATCCATCGCAGCAAGTTCCGGTGAATATCGCTGTTTGACAGGACCCGTAACGCCGTATTCGGGATAATCTGCTTGAGAATT